CAGCAATGTTATACTTTTTCAGGGAAAAAACCAAAACTGAAGCCCAGGGAAATAACAGAAGTACGATGTACATGAAAAGTTCGAACTGCTGAGAAAAGGGACCTAGAAAAGAATAACTCTCTTTGGCAAAGAACATGTCCCATTTTTTGTTAACATAGACAAGTTTCACAAAACCAATTTGCTAAAATACTTAGGTTTCCTAAGTATCATATAACGAATAAAATGTCAAGAAGGTTGACTTTCCTTTTCTAACATAGACAAAGTTAGGCCATACCTCTTATCTGAGAATGCCCCTCCGCCCCCCCAGGGAGTCCCAAAGGGTGGGTTTCTCTGTTGATTTAGAAAGTCAATAATTCAGTAAAATCCCAAGTAAATGGCAGAACATAAGCTCAGATTGCGTTTCTGTATTCCTATTTTATAAACATTTCAGGATTTTTTCCTTGACCCTTGACCTTTTGCCATTCTTAAAGTGAAGATCTTATGTCATAGAAGCTTGGTTAGAAAACAACCTCAGGATCATCTCATCCAACTTCTTTCTCTGTGTGGACTCTACTCTTAGCAGCACCTCTGGCAAAATAGTCCAGTAGTTAAACATATGGATTCCAAAGCTAGATTGCTATGATTCACATTCTGGCTCTACACTTAACAACTTTGAGACCTTGAGCAAGTTTTTAATTTGTTCCATGGTTCAGTTTCCTCATCTTTAAAATGGGAATAATAATTATACCTACATCAGAGGGTTATTATGAAAATTAAATTCTTTTATAAATGTTAAGTGCTTGGAATATGCCTGGTACAAATTAAATTCTCAATAAATGTTAGCTTTATCATCGTGATCTTCCACAACTAAGCCCCTATTTGAATGCTTCTAGGGACAGCAGAGAGTGCCCTCACCTCTCCCCTCCCTACCCCTTTATTTGCCCAAGGTAGCCTGTCAACATGTAGGCCAGAAGCATTCTGGTTATCATGAGCTTTGGAATCAGATGGACTTGAGTTTTAAACCTTATTCTATCTGCAACCTTGAGCAAGATAACCCATGGTATCTTCAACTTTAAAATGGCAATAATACATACTTCATTCGGCTGTTTTGAGGACTAGTTAAGGTATCTTGTATAAAGTACTTAGCGTGGTTCCAGCTACACGGAGGCACTAAATACAACTGGCCCTTGAACAACATGGATTTGAACTACGCAGGTCCGCTTACATGTGGATTTTTTTCAGTAATAAATACTACAGTACTACACCATTCATAGTTGGTTGAATCTTGGATATGGAACCCGGCGTACAGAGGAACCACCAATATGGAGGAACTGCATATATGGAGGGCTGACTATAAGTTATATGTGATTTTCAATTGCTTGGAGGGGTGGTGCCCCTAACCCCCAGGTTGTTCATGGGTCAACTGTAATTGATGGTTGCTACCATGATGATGATGATGAAGAAGAACAAAAAGAAAATACAAGACAGGAGGGGAAGGAAGAAAGGTAAAAGAAAGAGAAGTGATAGCCACACCAGCAGCTGCTGCTTTGTGAAAATGTTTTTTCTGACCAGCTGAGTTCCGCTCCCCTACAGTTTTACCTCACCAGTCTCAGCTCTACCCACTGGAACTGCAATAGGTAGAGGACTGCAGGACTCTACCTGTCCTACTTGCCAGCCCTTCAAACATTCAAAGAGGACTGACACAGCCCTCTCCCTGCCCCTATAGCAGCAGTGCCCTCTCTCAGGAAGACATATCCCATTTTTCAGATGTGTCTTAGAAAACATGGTTTTTAGGCTTCTGTCTAACAGGAGGTCCCTCCTGGCACACTCCCCATCCTTCCTGAATGGGGGCCAGAACACTGCAGGATCGTTTCACAATATGGCCACTCACAATATAGTGTCCTGCATCTCCCTAGGTTCCCTACAGTCCCTCTGTTCACTCCAGGAAGATGAGAATGGAAACAAAAATTGTCCTTGTTCACTTTAAATTTCTGTCTGAAATGACCTTCAAAGAAAAAAATTGCTTGTGATACGGGGCACCAGAGGGAGCAGCCCCAACAAAGCCATCTTTAATGTGAAGCAGTCCATTGATGGCACAGCCCCACTGCAGCTATAGAAGGGGGTCTCCAGATATTGAGACATTACCCTAACAGGGAAAAGGGAGCCCTTCTGCTGAGCAGCAAGATGGAAATAAGAGAGAGAGCCTAGTGCAGGCCTGGGCTCCCGGAGACTTTGGGGAAAGAGCTCCAGCTGAAGTTAGACAGACTAGGGCCCTACCCAAGGCAACGCTCCAGCCAGTAATGGCTGCTACCAGCTGAGCACTTACTGGTTCAGTCTCTGTACCAGAGCCTTCATCAACATTATTCCATTTAACTAGCACAACCTATAAAAGAGAAACTGATTATTCCCATCTTACAGGTAGGAAAACTGAGGCTCTCAGGTTGTATTACATCATCAAGGTCATACAGGTAGTAAGTAACAGAGCTAGAGTTTAAATCTTAGTTGCTTCACTCTTTTTTACCATCAATATTATACTGTATAGACAGACCCTCACTAACTATGTGGCCTTAAACAAGTGACAACCATGCTGAGCCTCAATTTTGTCAACCTTGCATGATTGCTTAGGGATTAAATGAAATAACATATTTAAAGTACCTGGCATGTAATAGGTGTCCAAGAAATTCTAGTTTTCTCCTTCTCAAGTCCCAGCTCTCCCACTTAAAGTGACTGGGGAAAATCACTTAACTTTTCACAGACACAGTGAAAATTGGATGTGTTTTCTGAACATCTAACCTTGCATATTGACAACATGGCAACAAGGCTCCAACCTGCCAACCTCTTTTGCTTCCTAGCATATCTTTTTGCCAGTATGCACATCTCTGGCAGTATGATTTTGGTTTCTCCCAGCAAACATCATATTTACGAACCACAAATAACAAAGTAGAAGATGCCGGAAGAGCTCTGGCATGTTAATTAAGAACAATAGCAGAAGCAGCTGAGCAGAAAATGCCAATGAGTCAGAAGCAGAGGCAGCAAAGCTCTGTTTGTTGACAGAAGCCAGCAGAGTGTTGTATGTTAATTGGGGAAGTGGGTAAACATTTGCCAACAGCTTGCCCCCGGGTGCATTGGAAGACAGACAGCAGGCTAGGCCCTCCCCACCACCTTGCCTGCCCATCTGCCCAGAGCCCAAGAGATACCAGTAGAGCAGCCTTGCTATGGGTTCCTTATAAGCACAGAGGTTTCTGGAGGCAGATGTATCTCCTTAATGACCCTCCTGGGCATACCAGGTTTCCATCTGTATACAGTCAAAGACAGTGTTCCTCCTTCAGCTCGCGAGCCTGCCTGTGACACTCAGGCCCCTAGGGCATCCCCTCCCCATCCGCCTGGAGAAGACAGTGGAGCCATCTCATTAGGTGTGGCTTGAGTTGAGCAGAGGACAAGATTGTCCATCTCAGGTGCTATAGTCTCTGCCCAGGGGCCCTGAGCTCCTGTACATGTCTGACAGAGCAGACTGCCCAGCCTCCCATCATGCACACTTGGAGCTGTCCATTTATCTGTGTGTCTGTTGTCCATCCTTACAGTTGCTCACATACACGGCAGCCCTCATTGAACACCTACTCTGTGCCAGACCCTGTGCTAATTATTTATTTTTTCTCACTTAATCCTCACATCAGTCCTACAAGGTTGATACCAACTCCAAAGCGACAAAGCTAATAGCCAACACAGCTGTGATTTAAACCAGAATCTTTCTGGTTCCAAAGCCCGTTGTCCTAGTATTTCTCAGCTTTTTAAAATTTGTGTTCCCTTTAGGAAATTTTTGGGTTTTTTTCTCTTACTCTTGGATTCAGAAAACCTCCACATCACATCCTTGCCCCTGACCTAGGAGGCCATAAACCTAATGTAGGGTTCCTATATGATTAACATATCCCAAACAAGCCAAGAAGATTTTGTCTAGCTTTATTCTCTCTATATTTTTTTTATTTCTAAAATATAAAGTCATATTATGAACTTGACTCATTTTTTGGAACTAAATATCTTCACCACCACCACCAAGGAGACTGTGATATGCCTCCCTAGGGAGCCTCTCCTCAGCAGGGGAGATACTCATCTTTGGGCACGGCGGGATGGGCACTCTCTAGTTTACTACAGGTATGTTTAGCGGAAGATCAGCCCCCAAAGCTTAGCTCTTTCCCACCAAGCAGAAAAGGCCCTCCCTGCTGTCAGGAGTTAACCAAACACGGGTCCCCAGCAATGCCAGTGAGTTGTTTGGTAACCAGTACCCTTTCCTAAGACCCTCCTGTTCTGCTGGCCAAGCTGAGCTGTGCAGGAAGCAGTGGGCCTCCACCTGCCCTGAGGTCAAATGCTAGTTCTTCCGCTAAACTATGAGACTTGACCTCTCTGAGCCCTGGTTTCCTCGGTTATAAAATGAGAGTAACAGGACTTGCCTGGTGGCGCAGTGGTTAAGAATCCGCCTGCCAATGCAGGGGACACGGGTTCGAGCCCTGGTCTGGGAAGACCCCACATGCCACGGAGCAGCTAAGCCCGTGCACCACAACTACTGAGCCTGCGCTCTAGAGCCTGTGAGCCACAACTACTGAGCCCGAGTGCCACAACTACTGAAGCCCACACACCTAGAGCCCGTGCTCCACAACAAGAGAAGCCACCACAATGAGAAGCCCGCGCCCCACAACAAAGAGTAGCCCCCGCTCGCCACAACTAGAAAAAGCCGGCGTGCAGCAACGAAGACCCAACGCGGCCATAAATAAATAAATAAATAAAAATTTTAAGAGCTTATTAAAAAAAAGCAGTAAAAAAATATAAATTAAGGTTTTTCTTAAAAATGGGAATAACAACACCTACCTCACGGGTTATTTTGAGGATCAAATGAGATAAGAGATGTGAAAATGCTCGTGCCTGTGCAAAGTAGGCTCAAAATCAATGTGCAGGATAGGATCTGAATGCCATGAGAGAAAATAGTGCTTCTTCCAGTCTTTTTGAGTATGTGTTTTCTTTCTTTTTAGGTAACCCAGCTGGACCCAAATAAATCATTATTGGAGGTAAAGTTGTTCCCTCAAGAAACCCTTTTCCTTGAAGCAAAAGAGTAAAACGTGGCCCAGCAGTGGAACCAGCCGTTCCTTGACAAGCCAGAGGCCTGCATCAGGAGAAGGGCTCCTCGCCAAGCCACCTATACGCTCGTCTCACTCAATTCAGTGTCACACTTCTGCCTCTTGCAAGATTGCTGGAAAAAAGTAGTAATAAACATAGCTACTTAACATTTCCCATCCACGAGTATATGTTCCCAACCCTCATTGTAGAGAACTATAGCTCTGCCTCTCTTACCCCCTTCACCTCGCCCTCGTTCAGTGACTAATGCACTGCTGAAGTGTGAGTGATCATGAAGTAGGATTTTTACCTCTCCAGTGCCCATCTTCCCCACAGTGTCTGGGACAGTTCTGTCTGACCTGTGACACCAAGCCGCTCTGTATTTGATGTGTCTCATTGAGCCAGGGCTCATACACCTCTGCCTTTTTCTTTTCAAGACTGAATTTCTACTTTGTCACCTAATTTTAAGAGGCAGGGGGAAAAGGTCAAATGGGACTTCTTGGCATGGAGATTAAACGTTGTTGTAGGAAAAAAAGATATCACTTTTGTTGGTACTTCCTGACTTCTTTACTAAGACGTAAGGTTGTGTTTGAGGACTGCATTTGACATATATGCAAGATATTCATTTACTGCTCCTGCCTTGGGTCCCCAGGTTCCATCCAGGAGGTATATGCTGTTCCATTACAGTGTAAGAAACTATTTAAGCTTGCGATGTGAATGTTGAGATAGTGTGAAGAGGACCAGTACCAGGACTTCAGTATCTGGCCCAGCTGCAGGAAGCTGCTGTTAGGTTTGCATTTGGGCAGTTAGAACCTCATGGGTACCAGCTCCCAGGTTGCTGGTCCATCAGTGTACACAGAACACAGCTCTCTCCTGCTTTCTGCTCCCATCATGCATTTGGACCTTGTCACTTAGTGCTCTAAGCACCTTGACTGTCACCAAAATCTGATCAGCCACCCCATGGACTCAGCCCAGCTGTCATAAGGAACTGGTTCCACTATTTCATCCTTTTAATATTTCAGTATTAGATGGTAGACTCCCATCTCAAATGAAAGGGATCTCATTCTATGGCTGAAAATTCTGACTTCATATATTTAAGAGAGCAAACTTAGGGGCTTAGCTCAGAAGACACAAGTTGCCTGAACTTGCATATAATAATTTGGGATGATTTAGTAAATGTGGATTCTTGTTAATCTATGGATTTGGGGTTTGGAGTTTAGTTCATGGAAGCACTGTTTATACCTTCACCGCCAATGAGTTCTTTTCAGTCTTGAAATGTTTCTCCGTATTTGTTTTTGTGTCCCCTGTGGTCTGTATCCTAGGGTTTGGGATCCTGATTTGACATTTTGTACTTGTCCAAAAGAGTCTGAGTGCTGGGCTTTTTCCCCCTGGACCAAGCCAAGGGGTTCTCAGAAGACTCTAACCACGGCCTGAGATATGCCTGGTCATTTTCCATCTGCCCAGAAGTGGGCATTGGCCAGGAAAATTCCACCTTGTGTCTTTTCTCTGACACTACAACCAGGGACCTCCCCTGAACACTCTCTTCAAAGAATGTGTTTCTAACAGACTAGTGCTACATCTGCCTGGGTGCAGACCTTCTCTGGCCCCAGGGGTCTCTCCAGGGAGGCTGAAAGGAAAAGAGACCCAAAGTGGGGGAGTTCAACCTGAGCACTTCCAGTCCAGCTCCACTCCCACCTTCCTAAACTAATGGCCCCACGAGACAGTCATTTCCAATGCTACAGATGCACTAGGGCACCAGCTTTTCTTTTTCCAGGGAGACCGTGTTCTGTAGCTGCCGTGGAGAAGCCACAACCCCGAACTCAGGCCATACTCAGGAACAGCAGCAATGTGTGGGTGGGGATTGGAGAGACACGACTCTGAATTCACTTTCATGTTTAACCTGTTCCATCTAATTTGGGTTTGACGTCATCATATTGTTTCCCCCATCATCTTCACTTCTGCATTCCAATAATACAGACTTTACTCTGAAACCAATTTCATAAAAGTTATTAAATGCTACTTGAATGTGCATGAAGTTTACACACCCTTTTTCAACGCTGCCTTGGAAGGTTCTTGCTCAGTCCCATGAAATCCTATCCTATGGGCCCCTTTGCTAGGAAAGGCCTCAGCTAATTATCACTGTTCACTCATACCATTCTGTTCTACTGAGCTCCAGAACAGGAGGCCAGAGCAATTTTATGCCCTTTCTTACAAATACAACATTAAAATGACTTATATAAAGTTAGGATCCAAGAAGAGTATTAAGTGCCTTACTATCACCACAAAAATAGCAAAGTCCTTTGTAATTCTTCCTCCTACCCTTACACTTCCTTGGGCTTTATATCCCAGCCTCCAGACACAGAAATGTGTCAATCAGAATTTGTGCTCTGTGTTCTTATGCCCAGCTGTCTGGAATGAAGTTCCAGGGCTGCTGTCATCCCTGCCCCATTCCAGTTCACTCCTCTGTGTTTCTTGGATTATCACTTGTATGTTTGGAGCATCAGTTTGAAGGTTTGAGGAAGTATTGCCAATTTCCCACTGCCTCTCAGAAGGTGCCGTTTGGGGGAGTTTTCTGGTCTGCTATGTTGTCATGCTCTGGCACCACTAGTTTTTTGGACATACAGGTGTTCGTCTTTGAATTGCAAGCATCTGAATGAAGTCTGAGTTCTTTTATGGAATCTTTCCTTTTCAGTGTAGGAGAATAGGAATCAGGCTTTTATGGATTTTATTGGTGATATTAAAAACATAAGTTTGCAGTTGCATTAAAATTGCTACTCCCAAAGCTAGACATGCTGAGTTGAGTGTGCTGGTCAATGACATGGGTTTTAAAGAGGTTGCAGAGCTCTGGCAGATTTCCCCAAAAGCGTAAAAGTTGTTCATTTGGTTGTGAGAAGGGGGTCTTAATTGTCATAAGCAAGCATCTCTGATTGGCATACTTCCACCATCCCTCTCAGCCCCTCATCCAACCAGTCCTGGATCCCACAGGCAGATGGAACATGGAATCCTGAATTCAGTCCAGGAGTAACTCACATGGGCACTGCGCTTTATAGTCCAAGTCACCCTTCCACGTGCTTAGCCCATTTGATCCTTTTTAAAATTCTTGGAGGCAGATCTATACACACACACACACACACACACACACACACTCCAGAGACCTCAGTGTCTTTCAGTTTGAAACTTGGTTCTGCCACTTAATAGCTGTGTGACGTTAAGGTGAGTAACTTCTCTGAACCTCAGTGCCCTGATAACATTCACACAGCACTTTGCAGTTTACCACGCCTTCCACACCCATCATCACAGTCCACTGCAGTGAGAGAAGCAGGGCAGGCATGATCATTCCATATTTGTACATGAGGCTCAGAGGGTAGGTACTTGCCTGAAGTCACACAATGTCAGTAGAAGAATCAGAACTCAAGCCCCAGGCTCTGACTTTCAGGGCCACAACTATTCTATAAAGAACCTCTAAGTTTCATGTCCAAGAATGGATCTTAGAATCCCCTACAATTGTATACAAAAAGTTAGATGTGTACTTTTCTAGGAGGGGAGTCTGTATTTCTCAGATTCTCAGTGGGTTCAATTGACCCGCCAAAATTTAACAGCCACCACTTACGTTATGCAAACAACATCAGACCATTTGGGAAGTTGAATTTGTCCATTCTTCTCATCAAGCCATTTTTTTTTTTTAATCTAAAAGCCACAAAGAGGGTGAGATGCAACAACTAGGCTTTCTTGCCTTGAACCTCTCTACATTTAGTGCTTCTCCCTTGTCTCACATAATTTGCTCTGGAAGATAACCCTTAACAAGCCCAACTGGCTATATAGCTCTTGCATTTTGAAAGTGTGCTCTGAAAGGAAACACCAAAAAAGAGACTTGCTCTCCAGTCCATTAACTCTTAGCTTGCACACTGCCTATTAGTTGTGGTTCTCGGTTTTGAGAGGTGACATAATGTGTGGTTAAGAGAATAGCCTCTGGGGCCTTATTGCCTGGGTTCAGGCCACTCCACCACTTACTCGTGTGCCCTTGGGAAGTCCCCTCACCTTCCTGCGTCTCAGCTTTTTAGCTTTAAAATGGATAATAACAGTACCTGGTTGATAAAGTTGTAGAGATACAACGAATTAACACTTAACTGTTAGCTAACATGTAAAGCAGTTAGAACAACTACTATCTGGTCTGCAAACTCACGGGATTACAAAAGGAAAAGAGAATGGGTGATGACAGCAGTGAGAAGTGGAAGTTTATGGGGGAGGACACAGAAAACATGAAAAGCAGTTACAAGAAGTCCAGGAGCACTGCTCTAGGGCCCTTCAGGGAAGGTCAAAGAGCCCTGCACAAAGTGTCACTGCATTACTGGTGTCCATAAGGATCATCCCGGGGCATCATGGGAAGGAGGAAGGGGGCGGAAGACTAACTTGCTGAGCACTCAGGATAAGCCCTGTACTGTGCTCGGAGCATTACATATGTTACCTCCTGTAACCCCGCAACAACCTGCTGGGTGGGTGATCTTGACCCCATTTTGAAGAGGCAACAGGCCCAAAGAGGTGAAGTGACTTGCCCAAGTTCCATAGCTAGTAACGAGCAGAGCAGAGTCTGGGACCCAGACCTTTGACTCCAAAGCTCCTGCTGTGTTTATGACAATGCAGTGCTACCTTCAAGGAAATTATGACATAACTAAGGCATTTCAAATAGTAATTACAATAACAACATCTTTTAAATGTTGGAGGATGCTAAAAGGGATAAAAAGTCAGTTTTATAGAAAACTCAGCTTTCCAAAAATGACTCATTCCCCAGTGTGTCAAGAGCCAGAATTTAAGCAATGCCTTTTATTTTTAAGTACATGCAGTGATTTAAGAAGGTTCCCATAGCTTCTGCCTCTGACATCTCCAAACCCCACTCCCTACTCCTTTATCCTTTGTCCCACTGACCTTTCTTCCCTCCAGACCTTTATCATTTCTCACCTGGGTTATAAAACCATATCCTAACTGATCTCCCTTTCTCCAGTCCCTTCTCTTCTAGACCATTCTCCACCTAGCTGTCAGAAACAGCTTTCTAAAACACCTGCCTCACCATGCTACACCCCTGCTTCGACACCCCCTGCAAAGGCTTCCCATTGCCCTCCAAATAAAATCCAAACTCATCTTGGATTTAAAACTCCTGTCATCTGTTCCCTACCTCCCTCCCCA